TTCGAGGATTCACTTTTCTTACAATTGTTGAGTTCATTTCCGTTTCGAGTGAAACTGCTTGATAAAGAGATTCGAAGGTCGATCCAACAGGAAGATGAATGCGGATTCTTCTTGACCAACCGTCGATAACTTACTAGAATATTCTTGCTGACGCTGTCCTTAATGCAATTTTCGATTCATCTGTCATATGACGGACTTCATCAGCGTAACCATATTTAAGCTAACCAATTAAGTCATAATTGCTTTCTTAATAAATCATTGTAAATTTTTCTTTCGCTTATCCACTTTAAAGATACTCACTCATTTTTTAATGTATCTCTAAGATTCCTATTTAAGTCACTCCCTTTTCTCCTAGGTAAATGCTAGTGAGGCTTTATTTTATCTTTCGTGATTCAAATGCTTACTTTCTATTTTATACATTTGTTTTGTTGATAAAAAATCCTCTCATTTTTCTATTTATAGTAATTTAGTCTTCATTCAGTAAGCTACCAACCTATCACGATTACATTTTATTTTTTTATAGACGAAAAATTCAAGTGTTCAATCTCTTGGTATCATAGCCCGTATATTAAGGAGCTTCGTTCGTAGCAATCATCAAGATTGGCAGGCATTAGATGACGAGGTAAGTCTTTCCCATTCATGTTAGACTAATAGTTGCAGAATTGTCATTCCAACCTGCACACACTTGCCATATTGATTCATATAGACTGAGATTGCCTGGAGATGGCTTGATAATACAACTCTTATAACCTTACGTTGGTGTTTTCCTAATAAAGGAGGCCTAGTTGACCATGGACATAATTATTAATCCTAGGATCTGTGAACAAGTGGTAGTCAGGACTAGGAAACTGGTCTAGATATAAGGGCGAAAAATAATTTAGTTATATTACCTTTGGATCCGATTATTAAGGACGAGCAGATTGATGCTTTATATCCCATTTCCTTAGTGTATAAGTCATTTCTTGGCAGAATATATACAGAATTCGAAATATACATAGGTCCAATGATAAGATGCCGGTTACTTCCATGCAAATTTATGTTTTAAAACTTTTAACTATTATTTAATGGGTTCTATTTCAGTTGATTGAGCTGATGCTTTTGCGCTTGGTCGATCTTGAGTGTCCAATGCCAACTTTACATGGAAAGCATGGCGGTTCTCAGGGGTCCTACTATCATTCTGGGGGAGGCGGAGCTTCTCCCGGCCGGCCTCCTGTTCTTGCATGCCGTCCGTCTCGCCTTTTGCGGCGTTTCTTTGAGGCCCTTGCATCTGGCCTCCTTCTCTCATGTTATGCCCATATGACGGCATCTACTTCAATTCCTTCTATTCCAAACCAAGAAGATGCGGTCAGTGTGGAAGCTGAGAAGTGTGAATCGAATCCAGAAGCCAGTGGTCAAGCTGGTGCTAGCATCGGGACCAGCTGCTTTCGAAGCGGCAGCACTGGCCCTGCGGCTGGACCAATTTCCTCGGCTAGTGATGACAGCCAAAATTACCACTATGGCCTTCTCTCGAGACTTTTGGCTACCGCCCCGTTGACGCCGCAACAGCGCGAAGACCTCACCTTTGTGGCGCATCGTGACCTCCGACGTCTAGCATTTCGACAGCATTGCCAGGTTTGTTTTTATCCCTAATAATCTTTTCACCAAATTTGCTAAGATCCTTTCAGAATATAAGCAGGGCAGGCAGGCTCGTTCGTCTAAAATTGTCATTTGATTCATTGAGTCGGTTTCGCCTT